GGCGGCACTGGGCCATAATAACTCCAGCTCTCGGGAGGTGGAGGACCGTTGGAGATCATCAAGCAGGGCCAGTTTGAGGACAGCCTTATTTGACCGGTGTCTCAAAACAAACAAACAAACTATAACAAAAAACCAAAAAACCAAAAAAAAAAAAAAAAAAAAGCCACTCAATTCAATTGTAAAAATATTAAGAAGGCAACTAAAATTGCAAAGAGTTTCATAACAAACTGATGTCTGGCGGGGACCAATATGGGACCGTTTCTAAGTGAACACTGTTCAGTGATGCTGACTTGGTGATACCTGGTACCTGGATGTCACCCTACACTTCCAGTTACACTTCTCTGGGAAACAGGAAGTTTAGGGAGACCATGGTACTCTGTCACTTCCCTCACTTGGAGAGTTCTCATGCTGGTAGCCAAACTTGGAAACTTGGCGTTTTCCTAACTTGATCATTTCTAAACCTACAGAGAAACGGCCAGAACAACACAGTGAGCGTACACACCTCTTGCCTAAATAGACTGGCTGTCGGGGTTCCAGCATTTGCTGACCCTTTCAGAACCACATGAGTTGAGACATTTGGTGAGAGCAGACACCAACTGAGTTCCTGAATGTCCCCAAGCATTTACAGCGAGGGCTCCTCCCTTTCCACCCCCTCCCCTCCCCTCTCCTCCTTCCCTCTCCTCTCCTCTCCTCCCCTTCCCTCTCCTCTCCTCCCCTTCCCTCCTCTCCTCTCCTCTCCTTTCCTCCTCCCCTCCCCTTCCCTCTCCTCCTCCTCCCCTTTCCTCCTCTCCTCTCCTCTCCTTTCCCCTCCCCTCCTCTGCCCTCCCCTCCCCTCTCCTCCCCTTCCTTCTCTTTCTTCCTTACTTTACCCTACCATACCATACTGATTGAATTTAGAGCCTCATACATACGTTGCTAGGAAAGCTCTTTACTACAGAGCACTGTGGCCATTCCTTTTTTCTTTTCTTTTCTTTTTCTCTTTAACTTTAAATTTGTTTTGAGACAGAGTTTCAGTAAATAGCCCAAGCTGTCTTAGGTGTTGTGATCCTCCTGCCTCAGTCTCCTAAGTGGAGGGACCTGATTCAGTTCCCAGCAACCACTTGGTGACTCACAACTGCTGGAAATTCTAGTTCCTGGGAACACAACCGTCCTCTCTGACCACCTGGAGAGAGAGGCCCAGAAAGACAACAGGCATGTACATGGTACACAGAGGTACATTCAGGCAAAAACATTCATTCACACAAAACACGTAAACAAACCTAGAGCCAGATCAAGTGTTGTGTAATCATGTAGTGATGTCCTTCTACCTTCATTAAAACTATTAGTCCTCATCTTTTTTTCTTCCCCAACACCGATATTTTTGGAGAGTGCAGCCAACTGCCTTAGAAGTGCCCTGCCCCTCCCCCTCCATCTGTTTGCCCATGATTGGATTCAGGCTGAACACTTCTGGTGCACATGTCACCTCGGTGACACTGTGTCTTTCCCACTCAATCCCTTTAAGGTCCTCTGATTTCCGTTTGCCCAGTTTGGGTGCTGTTGAATTTAATCCTCTGGTCGAGGCCCCCCTCCCCCGCTGCATTTTTCTTAATCAGGATGTTCCTCTCGGGAGAGAAATGAAGAGAGCTGCCAGGAAGAATGATGGGACCTCTGGAGACTTAGGAGAGACCCGGGAAAGAAAGGCAGCCATTGTTCTGAGTTTATCCTGGGGCTAAACAGCCACCAGACAATTCCACCTCCAGAAGATTCCTCCCTCCCAGGAGGTAGCCACCTTCGGTTCTGTCTGAGCCAAGCCCAGCCACAAAGTTGTCCTCCCCTTCTCCAGCCCTCCCCCGGAACTCATGTCCTAAACTGAAGGCTGAGGTCCATCTGGGTCAAAAGCAATTGAAAACAGCATCCTGTCTTGAGTGCCTGACCCTCTAACATCTGTGCTGGATGTGAGCAGGGGCCACCACCTGGTTTCTGGCATCTGCGTTCGGATCCTGACTCAGATCTGGAGCTTATACAGCGGGGGGTTGGGCCTTTTAAATGGCATTCCTTTTTGTCTCTTTTGGCTCTTACATATAAAGCGAGCTTCTTGGATCTCTTTTTGATAAAAAAGCTATGTTAACTTTTCCCACAGTGGCTTCCTAGTCAGGGAGATTGGGAAACAGAAGGGGAATGGCCTGTAGTCTTCTCACTGCTCCCGGCATTTTACAGAAAAATGCAGGCCTGTGGCATTCTACCAGCCAAGCCTTTCAGGACAATATCCTCCCCCTCTCTCCCTCCCGTTCTTTTACTTGCCTCATATCTGTTTGCTTGTCTTCCGTGCACCTGGCCTTGGGCTCTGTCCCCAGCACACTATACTCTATCTTCAACTTTTCCCACTTGTAAGAGGGGTTCATTTTGATGGGTTTTGAGGTGTTTGAATGAGAATGGCCACCACAAGCTCGTAGACTTAAATGCTTGGCCCCCAGTTGGTGGAACTTTTGGGGAAGGATTAGGAGGTGTGGCCTTGTTGGAGGAGGTGTGTCACTGGGGGTGGGCTCTGAGGCTTCAAAAGCACATGCCAGGTCCCATCTCTCTCTTTCTCTTTCTCTCTCTCTCTCTCTCTCTCTCTCTCTCTCTCTCTCTCTCTCTCTCTCTCTCTCTCTCTCTCTCTGCCTTCAGATCAGGATGTAACACTCTCAATTACAACTCCCTTGCTGTGCCTACCTGCTTCCTGTCATGATGATCATGGACTAACCCTCTGAAACTGTAAGTAAGACCCCCAATTAAATGCTTCCTTTTATAAGTTGCCTTGATCGTGGTATCTTTTCACAGCAATAGAACACTTACTACAACAGATTTAGACTTGGGAAGGACTTAAAAAGCTTAAAGGACTTCAAGGAGGAAATGAGATATTCTTTCTCTCCTGCTCCTCCCAACATTTATAACTAATAACGAAGCCTCTGCGTCATGATTTAGGAGATGGTTGGTGGCCCAAAAGAAAATGCTTGCTACGTGCTCACTCGGCCTAGCTTAGGCTCGTTTCTGGCTGGCTCTTTTAACTTAACCGTTTCTCTTTATCTACCTTTTGCCTCTGGGCTTTTTATTTTTTCTTTCCTTCTGTCGATCTTTCTTTCACTACTTCTCTGTCTGACTGACTGGTGGCGTCCTGGCTTCTTTCCCCAGGCTTCTCTCCTTTTCTCCCTCATTCCTCCTCCACCTTCTCCTCCTTCTTGTTTTTCTCTTCTCTCATTCTTCTCTAGCCTAGATTTCTCCTCCTATTTATTCTCTCTGCCTGCCAGCCTCGCCTAGCCCTCTCCTGCCTAGCGCCTGGCTGTTCAGCTCCTTATTAGACCAATCAGGTGCCTTAGGCAGGCAAGGTGAAACAGCAACACATCTTTTCACAATTAACAAATGCAGCAGGAACAAATGTAACACATCCTTACATCATTAAACACATGCAGCAGAAAGAATGTAACACACCTTTACACTGTTAAAGTCATATTCTGCAGCAGAAAAAATGTAACACACCTTTACACAGTTAAAGTCATATTCCGCAGCAGAAACAAATGTAACTGTCTTTACACAGTTAAGATAATGTCCCACACACAGCACTAAATCCTCTCAGCCACCACACCAGCATGGAACTCCATCCTCGTAGCCACCAATGAGCCTGAGTCCCCAGATGATCCTTTGTTGCCCTCAGACAGAGCATCCTGGTAAGTCACACTCCATCTCCTGACAGGCAGGACCATTTAATTATAAATATAGGCTTTAATATACTAAATCTGTGATGATTTCGTGCACAGCAATACATAACACACCCTCATTTAGTGGCCTTGCACAAGGAGGTTAGAGCTCCCTCTCTGAAGGCTCAAAGAAACTTGCCTGATTGTCCAACATCCCAGGCATCTTCTTAGCTGCAAATTAGACTCCAACTAATGGGAGTGTGGGAGACGGGGTGCTAGTGTCGGGATGCTAGTGAGATACTCACTCGGCGCTTGGAAAAGCCCGTGCCAGGTTTGAAAACCAAGCAGGAACAGAATGATGGAAAAGTGGTTCGGGGCCCCTGCTCCTGTGACCAACGGCACACGGGTTCTAACTGACCTACTTGATGTCATCCGCTCCACACTCAGCTCTGGGTGGGAACATCCAAATACCAGAGCTTGGCTCGGAACGCATTGGTGACTGAGACTAGCTGGCAAGCGCTCAAAATGGTTTATTCAACTCATAGGCAAAAGGCGATTCTGACATCGTGTACCGAGTAGACTCGGGCGGTTTGTGTGGGGGGGGGCGGGTCGGCGGGGGAGGCTAGATCCTGCCTCCAGTTCTAGGAGACTGATGTAGTCCTACACCCCAGGACGACGACATTCCAGCTCTTTCAGAATTTCCCTTACTGGCCTTCAAATTAACTTGAATAGTGAAACTGAGACAGTTTGTGGGCAGCAGTGCCCACAATATGCCACCAGAGGGCAAAAGAGACTAACAAATTTACCAAAGGGCTGGGGCAGAGGGAGGACGGGGAGGCAGCAGAAACCCAGTGATGAAGGTAGAGGAAATCTGGATTGAGTGGGGCTCCGTCAGGCTGTGGGAACTCAGAGAAGATAACCAGCAGTGTGGGCAGCAAGAGGCTTCCCTGTTCCCTGGGCACTGCTTACACACTCTAACTGTGGGAGCTTGGGGCTCTCCTGATGGTGGAGCTTGGCGTCCCCTGGTCTTTGCTCTGAGATCTCCAGAGGACTTTGAACTCCTTTTTTTATGGCATCAATTTTCCAACTGTAAACACCCCACTCCCCACCCCTGCCCATCCAGCCCAGTTTAGTACTGGAGTGCATGCAGGGCAAGGACAGCAGGGTGAGGCATGCTCGCTCTTCCAGCCCTTGGGCAGAAGGAAATGGAGCGCAGCTTCTCCTTTGGGACTGGTATTTCGGTTCTCAGGACCGTGCTTGGCACAGAGCAGGGGCCCGACAAGTATTTGCTTGTTGATAATTATTTGACACAAATAAATGTTACCAAAGGAACCACAGCAGGTATAAGGTGCTCCGATTCCACATTGTTTGAGTCTTTGTACTTTATTTATTTATTTTATTTTATGTGCATCAGTGTTTTGTCTGAATGCATGCCTGTGTAAAGGTGTTGAATCCCCTGGAACTGGAGTTACAGACAGTTGTGAGCTGCCATGTGGGTGCTGGGAATTGAACCCGGGACCTCTGGAAGAGCAGCCAGTGCTCTTAACCGCTGAACCACCTCTCCAGCCCCCGTCTTTGTACTTTCTTACAGCCACTCTTGCTGTCCCTGCCTAAGCTGCGGTTCTTCCTGCTGGACCGCTCACTATAATAGCCTCCTACGTGGTTCCCCTCCAATCCCTTCATCCCACAGCCCATTCTTCGCCCAGCAGCCAGCATGATCTTTTAAAACCATAAATCAGAGTGTGCCACTTCCAAGGTTAACACCTCCCAAAGGCTTCTCATTACCCCCTGAATGAAATCCAAACTCCTCTCCCTGGCCTGCGTGCGTCTGCACCAGCCAGGGCATGCCTGCCTCTCTGACCTCATCTCCTACTTCTTCAGCCTCACTGGCTTTCTGAGTCTTCCTAGAGCCCAGTGAGCTGGCTCTTGCCAGAGGGCTTTTGCATTAACTGTTCCTCCTGCCTGGAATGCTCTTTACCCAGATGCCCTGCTTGGAGGACTCCTCTCATTTGGGTCACCATGTAAATAAATTGTCACTTCCTCCAAGAGACAGCTCTTGACAAGGCAGCATAGGTTTCTTCCCCTAGACACATCATCAAATCCATTCCTCATTTGATGGTGATCGTAGCACTTATCATAATTTCTTGTCTATTTTTGTTTACTTTTAAGACTTTATTTCTGATTGTGTGTGTGTGTGTGTGCGCGTGCATGTGCATGTGCATGTAAATGCAGGTGGAGGTCAAAGGCTTCAGATCCCCCTGGAGCTGGAGTTACAGGCGGTTGTGCCTCCCAACATGAGTGCTGAGATCTGAACTCCAAGATTAGTCCACAGAGTCCACACTCATAACCACTGAGCCATCTCTCCAGACCCCTTTGTTGGTTTTTAACAGTCTTGCTATGTAGCCCAGGCTGATCTGTGACTTCCCATCCGTTTGCTTCAGCCTCCTGTATCCTGGGATTATAGGAGTTTGTCAGTATGCTTGGTTCTCATTTGCTTCCAGAAAAGAAACTCCACAACAATAGTGACTTTGTCTGCTTAATTTAATTACTATATCCCTAGCACCTATTAATAGCACAGTGCCAACAACAGTGGGTAGTGGTGGTGCATGCCTTTAATCCCAGCACTTTGGATGCAGAGATAGGTAGATCTCCATGAGTTCAAGGCCAGAATGGTCTACAGATTGAGTTCCAGGACGGCCAGGGCTATACAGGGAAACCCTGTCTTGAAAATAAACAAACAAAAACCAGTGCCAAACACACAGAAGGCAAACAAGTATTTTTTTCAGGTGCACGAGTGTGGGGGTCTAGGTGGATAAGGGGAAGATATTCACATTCATGTAAAGCTGACAGCCAATCATTCTGTTCCCATGGATATTGGCTGTGGACTGACTGTAGTCAAGGCCTGCCCCAGTTCTGGGCCCTATAGGAAGCACTGAACCTTTGACCTGTCGGTCATGATCGTGGGTGAAATGAACCCAGAGTGTCTGCTGGGCTGAATGAATGTGGGCGAATTTTGTATTTTTCCTCCCCTCCCCTTCCTCTTCCTCTTCTTGCAGCGCTGGATTGGAAGTCAAGGTCCCGGTGCATGCTGGGCAGCGCTCTACCATGGAGCTGTAGCCCTGGCCCCTGTGTCTTTCATGCTTTCAAAAAATAAAGCATGCAGAAACCTCAGCTTCAAGCCGGAAATGATAGAGAATGGCTGTTTACAGTGCCAGAGCTTGGCTGGTACCTGAGTGACCCAGGGAAGGTGCAGGAAATCAAGCTTACCTGTGTCGTACACACTACAGTGTTTCCAACACTGTGTATTTAGCGTTATCCAGGTATTGCTCACGCTGACAGCTGTGTGGAGCTTGTATTTGCATGCAATATACTCTCCAAGCAGGAGTTTCCTCTTTCAGAAAATTAGAGGTAGAGAGCAACTCCCTCTCATATTATAATACTCAAGAAGATCACCGAGACTCAGCTGGATCTGGTGCATTAGGTACAGTTCATCCCGACCGATTTTCTCCTCTCCCTTCTTGTCCTCAGGGTTAACCCTTCCCAGATGTCTTAGTTACTGCCCAGGTGTTTCTTACAAGGCTCAACAGGACCCGTGGTCCACAAGCTGGGTCATGGGGTTCTGCTGTGAATGTGGAATAATAACTAATGGGTTCCAGTTCAGAGGAAAAGGAAGAGAGTGTTCTCCATTTTAAGTTTTTTCCCACTATTTTCTAACACTGCTGTGCTAGACCTGCTGCAGCATGCATCTGTACTGGGTTATTTCAGTACGTTAACATTCTGTCTTAGTCTACCCAGGGGTCCTGCTTCTCAGAAGGGTTCAAGGTAAGCCTGGGAGCCAGGCTTAGAGACCTTTTGTCCGCAGCATCCTCCTGCAGACTTGGTGCAAAAGGCTCAGACCCTAACCCGCTGGTCTGAGGAGTCCCTGCCTCTGCTGCGGGTTAACAACAGCAGTTCCCACACTGCTCTGGTCAGGGAGGCTGGCCGTCAGCAAGGGCCTTCTGCGATACGGCTCAATGTATTCCCCACTACCAAATGGAGCCAACGCCCACCCGCCTTTCTGAGAAAAACTCATGAAAGAATTAGAATACTCCATGACTGTTGTGTATAATCAGAGTAGGGAAGAATAAAAAAGAAAGAGGCAGGGAGCCCTGGTGACAAGGCTCAGTGGTAAAGGCACTTGGTGCCAAGGGCAAGGAACTGAGCCCAATCCCTGAGACCCACGTGATGAGACATGAGAACTGACCCCTAAGAGTTGGCCTCTGACTTCCACACAGGTGCCACGGCATGTGTGCACCCCCTATCCAGATACACAAACTAATATAACAAATTAAGAGCCATTAAACATAGCAATGAATTGGGGCTAGTAGTTATGAGTTCTAATCCTCCTTCCGGCAACAGCCAGTCATGTGCTTGGGCAAACCACCTTACAGCCCAGGGGCTTGGCTTTCTCTAATTAGGACAGGACAGTAGTGGCAAACACAAACTCTGAAGATAGGGCGCAGGGGCCAGAGTCTGAGTCCACCACTGACTGGCTGACTTGGAGAGATGATTGAATCTCTGTTCCTTGTCTGTCCCACCTCTGAGCTGTTATGGGGGTGTGATGCCCTTGGCATAAGTAACCACACAGCTTTTCTTTCTCTCTTAAAAAAATATGCCCAGCCGTGGTGGTGCACACTTTCAATCCCAGCACTTAGGAGGCAGAAGCAGGTGGATCTCTATGAGTTCAAGGCCAGCCTGGTCTACGGAGTGAGTTCCAGGACAGCCAGGGCTACGCAGAGAAACCCCTGTCTTGAAAAACAAAACAAAACAAATCCATTACATTTTATTCATTGTGTGTGTGTGTGTGTATGTGTGTGTGTGTGTGTGTGTGTGTGTGTGAGAGAGAGAGAGAGAGAGAGAGAGAGAGAGAGAGAGAGAGAGAGAGAGAGATCCTGTGGAGACCAAGGGACAACTTGAAGGAGCTGGTTCTTTTCTTCCACCAGGAGGGTCTGGGAATGAACTCGGGTCCTCAGGCTCGGCAGCAGGTACTTTTACCTGGTGAGCCAATCTTGTCTGTCTGCCTTCCTTTCTCCTCTTCCTCTTCTCCCTTTTTTTTTTTGAGATTGGGTCCCACTAGCCAAGGCTTGAACATGCAATGTTTCCTCCCCAGCCTCCTGAGTATCTGGGATTCACCAGTCCCAGCTCACACACTTTGTCTTATAGTGTATGTGTGTGTGTGTGTGTGTGTGTGTGTCTGTCTGTCTGTCTGTCTGTCTATGTGAGTGTCTCTGTGTGTGAGTGTGTGTGTCTGTCTAAGTGTGAATGTGTGTGTGTATGGGTACAAGTATGCCACAGTACATGGTGTGTAAGTCAGGGGACAATCTGTAGGGGTTGGCTCTCTCTCTCCACTAGGCAGGCCCTAGGGATTGAACTCAGGTCCTCAGGCCT